TGTTGCTGTCTGTTTCATTTTTCATGTGTATTAAAATTAGTCTTATATAGTTGGGTGCTCCTTTATTTGGTTCATAGATGTTTATGATTGTTATCTCTTCCTCTTGAAGTTTTCCCCTCACAACTATATAGTGACTTTCTTTATCTGTTTTGATTGTTTTTGGTTTGAAGTTCACATTGTCTGTAAACAGAATAGTTACACCAATGTTTTTCTGGGTTCCTGTCACATGGCGTATTGTTTTCCATCTTTTGATTTTCAATCTATGAATTTCCTTTTGAGTTAAATGTGTTTCTTTTATACAGCATGTTGTGGATTTTGTTTCTTGATCCACTCTGCCAGTGTGTTCCTTTTGATGGTGACTTGACGCCATTTATATTGATGGTTACAACTAATAGGTATTGGCTTATCTTGGTCATTGTATTTTCCTGCTGTTGGTTCCCTGCTTTTCCCCTCTATTTAATTGCTTGCCCTACCTGGTGGTTTCTTTCTGTTGTTGTTCTTGGAATTGTGGTCATTTTTATCTCTGTCTAATATATCTTTTAGTACTCTTTGTAGCATTGGTTTGGTGTTCATAAATCTCTTCAGTTGTTCTTTGTCATGGAAGTATCTTATTTCTGCATTAATTTTGAAAGATGGTTTTGCAGGTGTGGTGGACTGACAACTGGTGGTCCACGTATAACACTCAGGTGAACTAAGTAAGCATGGTGCTGGGTGTGGGACGTGAGGATTGTTGCCAGCAGCACAAGAGGTAGAACTGGAGAAGAAGTGAGGTTGTTGGGAACTACGAAAGGCTGGTTGGAGCTGGTAGGAGCTGTAAGGAGCTGTTGATTCTGTTGGAGGAACTTGTCATGCTGTCTTTCCTGATGAACTTGGCTGTTTTCATCCTCCAAGGAGCTTGGGACCTTGTTGGCACTGAGAATAGCTTTAGTTCACTTTGGGTGAACTCTGGTCCTCACTTTGAGCATCACTTCCTGGATGTGGAGGGAAGATGGTGCACTGCTAGTCTCCTGGAGAAGCTTGCTGCATTGGCTTTCCTGTTGGGAACTCAGTTGTCCTGATCATTGGAGGAGCTCAAGACCTTGTTGTTGCTGAGATGGCTATGGTACCTTTCAGGAGAGCTCTTGTTCTTACTTTGAGCATTGCTTCACAGCTCCAGTGTAGATCTCTCAGCCTGCTAGCACAGACCCTTCGTCCTGCTTGCACAGACTTTGTGGATTCCACCACTGACCTTTGGGGCCTTCCATTGCAGGTCTTTGAAACAAGCCTGCATTAGACATTGTCATGGGCTCTGGGCCTCCAGTTGCATTTGTGGGAGGCATTGTTATGAGCTCTTGGTCCTCAGCTAGACTCATGCAGGATATTTCTATGGCATCCAGGCCCTTGCCTGGATTCTTGGTGTATAGTGTGTGTACAGATGTCCTGCACTCTCTTGTATATGAATCTTCAGGTGACTGTTACAAATAATCTTAATAAAAAATGTGTCTTGTATTATATTGTTCCTCTTGTACATATCCCCCAAATCACAACAGCAGGGTATATCAATCTGGGCTGGAAGTTGTTTTCTTTCTGAATTTGAAATACTTTACTCTAAGCTCTTCTTGACTGAAGGATGTGTATTGAGAAGTGTGCCATGATTCTGATGGGTTTTCCTTTATAGGTGATCTGTTTCTTTTCTCTAACAGCTTTCAGTGTTTTGTTTTTGTGCTGAGTTTCTGAATCTTGATTATTATATATCTTGGTGTAGTTTTATTTTGGTCAGGAATGTTAGGAATTCTAAATGCTTCATTTATTTGTATGTCAAATACTTTATCCACACTTGGGAAGTTTTTTATCATTATTTCTGTGAAGAGTTTTTTTTTTTTTTTATGTTGCTTGTGCTGTCTCCAGCTTTGTCATTGACCCACATCAATCTTATGCTATTTTATTTGCTTCATCTTGTAGGTGTCAGATTGATTTTTCTTGGTCTCTCATTAATTTTAAGATACCTTTCTTTTCATCGTCACTGTCTATAATTCTGTCTTGAAGATCTGAAATCCTATCTGCTCCTTTGTTCAACCTATTGCATATACTCTCAATGGAAGTTTTAATCTCTTGTATTTATATTTGGATCTGTTTCATGGATTTCACTTCTTTCCTATGCTGGGCATTATTTGTTTCCATCATTTTTCTAAGCTCCTCTTTTATCTGTGTCTTCTCTAATATCTTCGATTTTAAACATCATTTCCTTCTGTACCTGAGAGATTATTTTCTCCATAGCTTTTCTACTTGCTTTTTCACTTCTCGTAGTATCATTTCAGAAAGTTCTGGTGTTTGATTTCTAATTTTATTTATGTCCATAAGTGCTGGGCTTCTCCTGGGTAAGCTGAGTGTCTGGGATTGCATTTTGCTTCTGGGCCTTGTCATTTTCTATTTTCTCTTTTATATTTCATTTTCTATGTTCATTCTTATGTAGCCAGTTTTTTTTTTTTTATGATGTATAGCTTTATTGCTCATATTTACATTTCTCTAGAAGATATTTGTTCTTCAGGGATATCTTCTTGATGTAGGTGGTTTCTTATATCTGTTCCAAAGCCCTACTTTCCCAGTTACTATTTGGAAAGGGATGCAAGGTTACTATTTGGTTCAGTTCGTAATGCTTTCATACCGGGCCTGGTGGTGATTATGACCTCATAGAGTCATACTCTCATCAAACAGAGGAGAAAAACCATTTATAGCATGCATGACATCCTGGCTAAAGTATTCAGGTTGGTAATAAGAATAGTTTCAAGTGCAGCTTAACTACTGATAAACTATGGTAACCTCTGACCATGATTATGTAACAAAATCAAACATATACTGTGCACTTGTATGCAGTGATTTTCCCCTTAGTGAGGTGATTTTACCCTTCTGATGGGAGCAGGGTTTGTAAGATGTTTAGAGGATTGGCTGATGTGATGAGTGAGATCAAATATAGTAAAGTCCAGGGCTGGACATTAAAGGATGATCACCCAAAATTGCAAAACTGGAGGACACAGGAGTAAAGGAATAAAATAGAATGGAAAGGAGTAGTCAGAAATGGCAGAGACAATGTTTACTCCTTTGAAAGTTTATCTTCAAGAAGTAGTTAAGGAAAGACAGTGAGTCTATAGAAGAGAGTGGAACAAAATGAAGGTAAGAACCTAAACATTGAAAAAAGAAGGGAGAAAGAGAAAGAGAATGAAAACGAATCAAAGGAAAAATAGAAAGAAAAAGATGAGAGAGAGGAAGAAAAAAGTAGAAGAAGAAAATATAAAAACCCCAAATAAAAAAGTAAATAGAAAATACAGAAGAAAACAAGATGACATCCAATCAGACAGGAGAGGGATATCCAATCAGACAAACAAGGGAGAATGGAAGTAGTAAAATGCCTCTGGTGCTTACAGTTCTGTGATAGTGTCCATATTTAATCCCAGAAATGTGTTGGGTATGGAGCTGATCTTGGCCTCTTAATGTGGGGTCTGGGACTGGACTTCTGCTGGTGGAGTTCTCTGGAATTCAACTGCTGGCTCTGTGCTGCTGCATGAGATTCTTCCACGCTGCTGGTCTCACCTCTCACTCTGCCACTCAAGGTTGTGTGTGTACTTGTTCACTTGGGATCTGGCTGTTGTCCTGGGTCTTAGGTCCTGGGGTTCCTGTCAGTCTAATCCACAAATGCTTGTGTCCTTACACTCCTCTCAAAGACCCTGCAGCCCTCTGCTTGGAGGCCCCCACTTTCCCATGGAGAGAATGGAAGAAATATGGTGGATGGACTCACTCTGCTTGCCGGCCCTGCAGTCCTACAAAGGGAATGGAGAGATTACAGGTCATGGAGTCACTCTACTCACAAGCCCCTGCTATCACACAGACAGAATGGAGGAGGCACTGACTCACTCTGCTCGCAGGTCTCTGTCATCCCACAGACAGAATGGAGGAGGCACAGACTAACAGTGCTTGCAGGTTCCAAACCCTCCATCCCACAGACAGAATGGAGTAGCTCACAGTTTTGAAGGATAGAAGTCAAGTAATGGGGGACCCTGTTGGTTTGGTCTCTGGTTAGGGTCTGATCTCAGATGATGTCACCACTGTGATAGTGTGTGTAGGAAGAAGACAACTCGTTTTGAAAATGGGAGCCAGAGAACAATTTGGGTGTCAGGCTTGTAACAGTTCACACTTGCAAGAGCTAATCCTGGTTCCCATGAGAAATGCTGTAGCTCCTGCTGGGGGCAGCACCCCAGATGACCTAAGTACCTCCTATGAAGGGTTCCACTGGCTCTCACATGGCCACACTGAGGACCAAGCTCGCAGCACATGAGTCCTTATGGGACAAACCACTCCAAACCAGAGCAGAAGGTAGAGCAAAAACAGGATATTATGAAAGAAGAACAGAGAGAACATTTAGAATTGGAAATTCAGTTGTTGAAATAAAAAGCTCAATGGAAGGGCAAAACATCATCTTCAAAGATACTTGGAGAACTGAAACTACTTCTATAGTATAGTCTGTGTGTAGAATATACATCAGTAAGTTTCACTTCTCTTCCTTACCACCTCCCTTCACCCATCATCTCTCTTGTTGCACACAAGATGCACACGAACTTCACTTTCGCTTATGTGACACTGACCATGTGAGAGAAATAGATGACCACTGGGTATGTCAGGCAACAAAGAAAGGTTCTGTAAAGTACTGAGCTTCCTCGTCATTATACGAAATGATTCCCTGGCTATGACCTACGACAAGATACTTAAAGTGGTAGTTTTTGAGGTACATTCTGAGGACTGAGAAACCATTCCATTTTTAATTTTAATATGTGATTTGAGACTAATGTGTTTCTCAAAAATTGCTAATTCCATTAAAAGGTATAATTCAACTTAAAAATGTGTAGCGTAGAGATTGATATTACTTTCTGTATAAGTTATATTACATACAATAAATCAGTAATGAGAGGTAAACATTTTTCATGTTTAGCAGTTTTTCATTTCAAAACTTTTATTGATGCTTTCTGTAGTTTCTGAGTCTGAGGTTGCCCAAGAAGCAGATGACATGGCAATGGAGAAAGAAAAGTATGTGGAGGAGCTGAGGAAAGCCCTGGTGTCGGGAGCTGGACCTGGGGACACATACAAGTTTGAGTTTTCTGAAGGGGATTGTTGTCTCTCCTGTGAAAAAATCCTGAAGGATGTTTCAGTAAGTACAACTTTCTGTAACTTTATAAATGGTACAATGTCCTCTCTCTGACAGAAACTGTGTTAATATTTAAGAACTTATTATGTGATACACAAAATGCCTCAGAAATCAAAGCTTGGGAGCTACTTGGTTTCATGGGTAAAGTCATTAAGAGCTTCATACTAATGAAGTATGAAGAGTAATTATTGGAAAATGTATTTTTAAAAATGTTTTAAAAGTTTTGAGTATTATAATTATTTGATGAGTAATTTTGAAAAAGAGGGATCAAAAGTTGTAGGCAATTGTGAGAAGGTTTTATTAAAGTAACCTTGGGGAAAGAGTGATTTTAAGAAAGAGAACATACAATATTTAATACTTATAGCTTATTTTCCATTTTATTCAAATATTCTTTTTTTTTTATCAAATATTCTTGAAATTATAAAATGCCATGATTAAGTGTAGTAAGACATATAATTCAGGATTAAGTGTATATTATTCATTTCATTATACTTAGAAACACCAAAATGGAAGAAAATAACTTTCATCCCAACCTTCCCAAAGCTTGCACACTTTGTAGACAAGAATATCTGCTATTCATCTTGGGCATTTCTTGTACTGATTCAGATCAAGGTGATGGTTTATTAAAGGTGCTGTAATTACCATCTTTGTACTTACCTAAATGGAGGTTGAATTTGCTTTTTTTCCCTTGGCTTATCAGTTATGAGATGTACAGTGTAAGAAAGGAAATCTTTATTATATTAAATTTATAGTTATTGTTTTAGAACTAAATTTACTGTAACAATTTTAAACCACCTTTTTAACCTAAAATGATTAAAGAGTTTTCATCAAATAGAGAAATATGTGAAAAAACACAAGCCATCATTTTCATATATGTATTGTATTAACATATAGAAGGCAATTTAGACTGACTTTAATAATTTCTGTTTAGAAGTTGTATACCTTTTCTAATCAACTGTCACCTTATGTAAGTTTCAGTATCCTGAGATCCTTAAAGTGATAATTTAAAGAGCTTTTGTCTTTTTAAAAAAGATTCATGTCTTTCTCATTGCTGGTACAGAATACCTGACACTCACAACTTAAAGGAGAAGGGTTTGTTTTGGCTCACGGTGGTCAGTGTATGGTTGGCAGCTGAGCATAGAATTGATATGGTGCAAGGGCTGGGAGGAGGAAAGCTGCTCACATCATGGTGGTCAGGTAGCAGAGACAGAAGAGAAAAGCTGGGAAAGAAGGTGTACCTTTCCAGGTCATTCCCTCAGTGACCTGCTCTCTTAGGGATTTTCTTGTCGCTGAGACACAACACCCACCAACTGCAAATTAAAGGAGTGGAGGTTTATTTTGGCTCACAGTTTGTAGAGGTTTCAGTCCATAGTTGGCTGGCTCAGGACATGATATCCAAGAAGCACAGAGAGCTCCAGGGAGGAGCTGAGGAGGGAGACAAACACGTCCGGGTCACACCCACAGTGATCCACCTCTTCCAGCCAGGCTCCACCTCCTCACAGCAAGTCAGCTCTCAGCCCCTCTAATGTGGTCACCTTGCAGAGGTCCTGCTTTGATGGCCTGAGGCTTTAGGGGGACATTTAGATATTGATCCTAACACCCACCTCCCAACCAGCTCCTGCGTCCTAGCACAAGTCATGTATAGCAACCCCATGATTCAGTCACTCTCCAAAGCCCCACCTCTGCACACATGAGGCCCTTGGGGGACATTTAGATCTAAACCGTAACAAGTGGAGTAAGAAGTTTTGAACTCACTGCCAACATTTTGTTATTTATCACATATGTTCTTTCGTACGGTCCAAACCCAAAAAGCTTCTATTAAATACTGTAAAACTGCCATTTCTTCTAATATTTTGAAAGGGATCATTGTGAAGTTGGGACTGATGCCATTTCCAATTCACCAACCATTAGTGTATGACGACTGTCATCATTTCGTGCAGTTTCTGGTTTTCATCTGTTTTGTATACACCAATACGTAGTCCAAGTTAGGGGTGTGCTTGTTGCAGAGCTGAAAGGTTTGGTGTCTTGGACAGGGTAACATTGCGGTGGGGCTTGGAGCAGTGATGGCAGCTGGAGGAATTGCTCTCCCTAGCAAGACGTCTGGGTTTTCAGCTTATGTGAAGAAGGAACTTCAAGGCTTAACCACTGATGCCTTTTAAAATTGGCTTGACACATATCTACATGAAAGATGACAAAATCTTGAGAGATTTCTCACCTACCACCCTGAAACTAATCAGTTTTTTTGAGGACCATGGCCTTGGACTACTACCTTTCAAACAGGTTTTTTTCAAAAAATGGAAATGGCAGAAGAGTCTCAGCAATGCTGAAGTGTGTTGGGTTTTGAAAGAAAAGATCTTGAAGCAGTAGATGCACATATCTTTGGTTATTTATTTATTTATTTATTTATTTATGAGAAAAAAGCTACTCTCAGAATAGTTTAACAAAGGAAAATTTTATTCATGGTTTGGCTTGGTTGAGAGATATTTTTAGATAGTCAAATGAGGTATAAAACTTTTCCGTCTTGCATTTAGCCTTATAGATCCAATAGAAGTATAACAAGTTTGCTTGGTCGACTGCCCGGGGTATCCTCCGGTGTTCAGGATGTGCTTCTGTAAACTGATTTCATTAGGGCCAATATCTTGTAAATTCACATGGTGACAGAATATCTGCTGGTAGTTGGAGAACTTTTTAAGGCTAATTGTGCTTGGATGTCCTACATCTTGAAACGGAGTTTGTAATGCTTTTCTTGATGACACACATCTGGTTATGGCCAAAAATGACCTCCTAAACTTAGAACAAGAGTAGACAGAGCATAGCTGCTATCAGGCTGACACCTTGGAGAATCAGGGTTCTTAGGTGTTTGTTGCCATCCATAAAGAAGTTTTACATATGTGTGATCCCTGCACAATGGGAACAGTTTGACTATCCAAGAGACCTTGCATTAGGAACATTCTTAGGTAGGAACACGTGGTGGAAATAGCTCCTGGGTCTGCTGGACATTGTCACAGTTGTGCTGCTGTGTGCTTACTGTGCGATAGCATAGTGTAGGCTACTACAGCGTGAGACTTACTGTATTTGTGTATGTGTGTTCTTTTTTTTATGCTTTATATTGTGTTTTTGTGTCAAAGGTGTACAAGACTCCCTTTGTTTAATTTATGAATGGATCTGACTTATGAATGTTGTCCTGGAATGGAGCTCATTCTACATCAGGGATTTACTCTCCTCTGTAAAAGGGGATGATGGGTATTGAGGAACAACTAACAATCCATACACATTTGCATTCAGGAAAGGGCAAGACATTTATCATTCTGAAAGGTTTGCTTTTATTGTTGCAGGAATATTTCTCCAGTATTTTCATTACAAATATGTGTTTGGTCCTATTTTATTTTAAAAATGTTACTACATACAGAGCAGTAAAGGCTATTGTGCATCTTATTATATACCGTAACTTTTATTTATTTATATTTTAATGGAAAAATGCACTCTGAATTCAAACAAGTGCCATACATTTAAAATACATTTCTCTAATATATGAACATGAAGTAAGATAAGTTAGCCAAAAGAAACAAAGTTGTTTTTAAAAACAGCAGTCCAAAATCCTATATTATTGCCATGTGTCCCTGTGGTTTGAGGGACTCTGAATTCAAAGGGCCATTTCCAGATGAAATATCAGAATTGGAGCATTTCTTGTGGTGTTCTGCCAAAAGCTCTGTCAAAAATAGTAATGACTTTCAGGTTTGTGGGAGTTTGGTTGCAAAAGTGTCTAACAATGGATGCCTGAAAAAGAAGTCATAATATTCTTTATTTTTGTGATAAAAGTATTTGTGTACGTATGACATTTTTGTACTAAACACTTTACAATTTCCTTACCCTTTTGGAATGCGGGAGCTAGCGTAGTAATGTCTGTGGCACAGAAATTCTGTTCCAGTTAAGCCATAGAAGAGATTTTAGAAGTACTCCTTAAAAAATTAATTCTATTAGTTATACTACTTTGTGCTTGTGAGCTCCCTATCTTTCTCTCATTGCCCTGCTCCATTCTAAAGTGTCTGCTGCTAAGAAATACCTCAAAGTTACCACAAGAAAGAGAAAGTTGCATGTAAAAACCCTGCTGCTGCATGACTTCTGAGTGTGGCTGATGTTAATATTTTCGGATTACTTTTCAGCTTATCTCCTTTCACATCTATTTCCTTATTTCAGCAGTAAACTTGGCATTGTTACTGTGAGAAATAGATACTGAAAGACAAGGCAGTGGCTGAGGAAACGTGAGACTGTAGTTAGAGCAGAACCCAGGGTTTTTGTTATATGAATATAAAATCGATTTTATTAAACGATTATTTTTAGCTATAACTTACACACAATAAAGTTCACCGCACAAGACAGTTCCTTCATGCCTCTTCCTACTCGGTCCCCAGTTCCCCCTGCCCTCTCCCTAGGTCCCTGGTTGCCAGTGGACCGCTTTGTATGACTTTAGATTAGTTATCTGTGCTTGTCTTGGCATTTCATATAAATGGAACTACAGCATAAGTAACCTGCTTGTAGCTTTATCTGTACAATATAACATTTTTGAGATTTATCATCATATATTGTTCAGCAGCAGTTCATTTGTTTGAGTTGCTGAGAGTGTTCCCTTGTATGGATACACCACATTTACCTTTTCTCAGACCTGTAGGTGATTTTCACTTGTGGGCTAGTGTGAATAAAGCAGTTGCATATGTCTGTTTTCATGGATTTAAACAAATGGAAAACAGCTTCACTAGTACAGAATTAGTGTACAATAAAACGTGCATGTAAAAATGTACAATTAGATAAATGTTAGAATGTGCACATAGCCATGAAACTATCACCGCAGTGAAGATAACAGACCTTCAGCCTGCCTCAGTTTCTGTGTCCTGCTGTAACTCCTCTTTCCCTTTCCTTCTGCTCCCACTCGGTTTCTGGACAGCCATCGGTGAGCTTTCTATCACTATCAAGTGGTTTACATTTTTTTTTTCTAGAATTTAAAA